CAGCCAGATCTTCTCCATATTCCTTTGTGTCACTATTAGTTGCTACCCCAATACCCATTTTCTGCCATCTTCCTTGCTGAATAAATTCAATTTTATTCAGAGTAGCAATGTGCTAATTAAATGCATAGCCAGGCTCCCTTGCAGCCAGAAACAATTATGTGACACAGTTCTGGCCAATGAAACAGTACGTCTGGGGGCGGGGGCGTCTGGGAAACTAAGTTCCCTAAAATAGGAAACAAAAGCACCAAGGGCTGCCCTTCTCTTAGCTTCTTTCTTACTCATTTAAAACATTCACAATGGCCAGAGCTGCAGCATCGATCTTGTAGCCATGAGGCAAAGGCCACAACAATTATAGAAATATTGGCCCTGTTGATATTGAGCTGCTAAACAGATACCACCTACCTACATATTTCTTGTGACGTGAGAAAAACAAATCCTTACTTGTTTAGGACATCGCAGTTGAAGTTTATGTGATTTGTAGTTGAACATGCTCACATCAGATAAGCTCATTCAATCCAAACCTTAACCTACACAAGGCAGAGGAGAAGGGGGAGAAATGTAGCTCAGGGTAAAGCACTACTCCCAAAGCACTGGGAAATGCCATTGCCTCACTATGGAGCTGCACCAACAGCAAGTCGCTACGTAAAGAGAAAATGTGGCTGTGAAGGAAAGAGGGGATAATTACTGAGTCCATGCCTGTCCAAAAATGGTATCAGGGCCAGGCGCGGTGGCTCATGCCTGTAATCCTAGCACTTTGGAAGGCCGAGGTGGGTGGATCACCTGAGGTCAGGAGTTCAAGACCAGCCTGGCCATCATGGTGAAACCCCATCTTTAAAAAATAAAGAAAGAAAGAAAGAAAAAAAAAAAACAAAAATGTCATCAGAAACTCGATATGGTAACAACATTCTAGGATGAATAAAGCCTACATGAGTGGTAAAACAATCACTTTTATAATGGCTTCACTGACACTTGATTAAATAACGATGTGTCAGCCACAGACGAGCATTGTGGATACTGGGTGGTGAATTATTAATGCAAATTTTCCATATGAAGTCAACTGGGAATGTATTTCCATTAACATCAAAGAGAAAATTAATTTAGGGGTCACTTATTCTCAGGATACATATGGTTATATATATATATATGTATACACACACACACACACACACACACACATACACACACACACTTTCTTCCTGTATTGGCCATACACTGGGGAGAAATCCAGCCAAATCCACTTCAAGAAGGAAGAAAATTTAATTTATGCAGCAACTAACATGTCATGGATTGAACTCAACTAGATAGGAAACATCTTCAATGAAGCCCTTTAGTAATTCAGCACGAACAATTTAATGAGTCAGGAAGGCAAGTCACTCAAGCTCAGGCTGTACAGGCAGGGCGAATGTGTTCTAGCTAGCTCATCTTGGAGCCTACTGCTGAGGACAACGCCAGGATTCAGGGCCTCAATCTGTAACCTTGTGCTCTGGTTTTTCTCTAACAGTTAGTATATTGTTTGGCCAAATTGTTACTGAAGTAATGGAGACATACACTGAAGATATGAACAAGGTCATTTTCCTGCAAAAAATTCCTGTTGATGGATTCATTTGCATGAGTCCATCAAGGGAAGAGGTTTGAGGTCTTCCCTGGTAAAAGGAAGATTGAGAAATAGACCAAAAAAAAAAAAGAGAGATGGAGAAACTGCAAACGGCGAGAGACTGACCTCAGTAGCTTTCTGGCTGAGTCCCCGAAGCAGCAGCACAATCACATGTATGGCAGCTCTGCGTACTTGAACTTCGCTGTCTGTTTTAGCCACAGCAATCAGGCAAGCTGTTACCTAGGAGGGCGAAGGAAGATGAAGTTGATAAGAATCAGAGTTGCACAATTACCTATAACCTTTCAACTGTGTTCCACTTACTACACATTTGTCAAGAGCCATTTGGTTTAGAGAGGGCTGGATAGCTGCTTAATCCTCAACAAAGAGGGTGAGCTCTAGTGGGAGAGATCTTGATGCAGTCTGGCTTTTCTGGCAGAGGACAAAATCTGGTTTGGAATTCAAGAATGTAGTTAGAGAGTGGGAAGGAATATGTGTACTGTGTATTATATATACATATATTTTTCAAGATGGAGTTTCACTCTTGTTGTCCAGGCTGGAGTGCAATGGCACGATCTTGGCTCACCACAACCTCTGCCTCCCAGGTTCAATCGATTCTCCTGCCTCAGCCTCCCAAGTAGCTGGGGTTACAGGCATGTGCCACGATGCCTGGCTAACTTTTTTTTTTTAATTACCTAGGCCAAATCTTTTTTTTTTTTTTTCGAGACAGAGTTTTGCTCTTGTTACCCAGGCTGGAGTGCAATGGCTCGATCTCGGCTCACCGCAACCTCCACCTCCTGGGTTCAGGCAATTCTCCTGCCTCAGCCTCCCAAGTAGCTGGGACTACAGGCACGCGCCACCACGCCCAACTAATTTTTGTATTTTTAGTAGAGATAGGGTTTCACCATGTTGACCAGGATGGTCTCGATCTCTTGACCTCATGATCCACCCGCCTCGGCCTCCCAAAGTGCTGGGATTACAGGCTTGAGCTACCGCGCCCGGCCTTAGGCCAAATCTTAAAGGAATCAGTGTTGTTTTTTATTTTGTTTTGTTTTAATAGAGGCGGAGTTTTACCATATTGGCCAGGCTGGTCTGGAACTCCTGACCTTGTGATCCACTGCCTCAGCCTCCCAAAGTGCTGGGATTACAGGCTTGAGCCACTGAGCCCAGCCTAATTTTGTATTTTTAGTAGAGATGGAGTTTCTCCATGTTGGTCAGGCTGGTCTTAAACTCCTGACCTCAGGTGATTCACCTGCCTTGGCCTCCCAAAGTGCTGGGGTTACAGGCGCAAGCCACTGTGCCCAGCCTATACATATTTTTTAAAAGGTAAGGTCAGATGCTAATATTGCCTCGAAAGTGGGAAGAAACTGTTACTTGTCCCCCTTTGAGAACATCAGATCAAAGGAGAAAAGATGGTCCAAACCATAGCTGCTTCTAGAGACTGAGGATCATGGGGATTTAGCTAAGGAGACTTCAGAGTTCAAGGCCTGGCATGATTGTGAATGTGCCACTGATGAAAGTTTTAACCTAGGGATATAGAAATACAGAAATATTCTAACTGATATTCTTCAGCATGCCCAGACATTCCAGTCCTACAAATGTAGTGTACACCCCACGTGAGTCAGCAGGGGCCACTTTCAGAGACTCCCTGAATATGGAATAGGTCTTTCTGTGCTCAATTACGTTATGTATTTTTTCTGTTTTGTTTTGTTTGAGACAGGGTCTCACTCTGTAACCCACCCTGGAGTACAGTGAGGGCTCATTGCAGCCTTGACCTCCTGGGGGCAAGTGACCCTCCTACCTCAGCCTCCCAAGTAGTTGGGACTACAGGTATGCACCACCATACCTAGCTAATTTGCGTATTTTTTGTAGAGATGAGGTTTCATCATGTTGCCCAGCTGGTCTTGAACTTCTGGGCTTAAGCAATCCTCCTGCCTTGGCCTCCCAAAGTGCTAGGATTACAGGTGTGAGCCACTGTGTCCAGCCTGTGCTCACTTTTTTTTTTGAGACAGAGTCTTGCTCTGTTGTCCAGGCTGGAATGCAGTGGTGCAATCTCAGCTCACTAGAACCTCTGCCTTCTAGGTTCAAGCAATTCTCCTGAGTAGCTGGGACTACAGGTGCGCATCACCATGCCTGACTAATTTTTGTATTTTTAGCAGAGATGGGGTTTCACCATGTTGGCCAGGCTGGTCTCGAACTCCTGACTTCAGGTGATCTGCCCTCCTCAGCCTCCCAAAGTGATGGGATTACAGGCATGAGTTACTGTGCCCGGCCAGTGCTCAATTAAAGACCATACTATCACAGGAAAGAAAGACTGGAAATTACTTGCAAAACTGACATATAGTTAATTATATCATAAAATCAAACAGTTGAATGTTAACAACCACTGTGCATGCCCCTGCCTGGCTCTTGGTAGGCAGAAAAATGTTTTAAAATCTCAATGAAGAGATATAATTAACAACGACAACAAACCTTTCTGAGGCATTCAGGTAAGATTTACAAAGAAAAAAACAAATTTTGAAAATGTGACCAACAGAAGCAACAATCTGAAGGCATGTCTGACTTATTCAACTGGTCTCTCATAATCATTTTGTTTTTTATTGAGACAGGGTCTCACTCTGTCAATCAGGCTGAAGTGCAGTAGTACAATCTTGGCTCATTGCAACCTCTGTCTCCTGGGTTCAAGTGATTCTGGTGCCTCAGTCTCCTGAGTGGCTGGGACTATAGGTATGTGCCACCAGACCTGGTTAATTTTTTGTATTTTTTGGTAGAGGTGGGGTTTCACCATGTTGGCTAGGCTGGTCTCCAACTCCTGACCTCAAGTGAGCTGCCTGCCTCAGCCTCCCAAAGTGCTGGGATTATAGACGTGAGCCACCACACCTGGCCTTTCACATAGTTTTGTTATTCGACTTACTGTGTGAGTATTTATTTCTTGGCCAGTAGTGGAAGGATATCTAATTATGATAGGAAAATAGCCAGACTGTGTTTAGAAACATGTACAAATAGAAATCATGTTTAAAGAATGGTGAATACAACAAGAACAAGTGAGGAAATGGGCTTGTGCAGAAATTTAACTATGCAGGTTGTATTTTTCACAGCTTTCAAACAGTTGGGGATAGTTTAAAGTATCTAATTAATCAGTGATGGCAGAGAGATTAGAACTAGCTTGTTCTTAAGTATAAGTGCATCTGCGATGCGCTGGCATTTAATCAAGTTGTGCATCTATTAAACAAACATGCAGCCTGCAAGCGAAGGAAAATCCCAGAAAGTTCAACCCTTTGGGGGCTGTTTTCAGTAAGACCCAGAAAGCTATTCTGCCTTTGACCTGGGACCGCTGACTCTGAGGCCAGCAGTGGCTTCCATGCCTCTGGCATTAACAGTAGAAGCAATTCAGTCCTAAGAGGAATTCCTTGGGCAACCTCCAAACAGGCAACAATATAATAGCTACCTCCACTTTCAGGTTTTAGTATTTACAAGGCAAGAACTGAAACCAGAGAAAAAAGTTAGAGCTAGGTCTGAATCCCTCTTGACACAGGGAAGTAAAGTTTATTTGGTCTGATAGCTAAATTATGGAAGGCAGCCCAAGGCCATGGACCAAGCAGAGGCTTTTAGGCGTTCTGCCTGCTCCCCTCTCCGTTTAGCTTTGGGTGCCTGCTTCCACGTTTGGCAGACCAAGGCTCCCTGGCCTAGAACAGTGTTGGTGTCTGCCTTTGTCACCTCTGTTCTGCCTCTCTCTGCTAAGTGGGTCATGCTTACATCTCAGCTCTCAGTGTAAGGCCGGCTCTCAACAGTTGGGTATTTGGGCATTAATCCCACAGTTGGGATGTCCAGGCAGAAGCATCCTGCCGGGAAAAGGGCTTTCCCTTCAAGGCCAATTCTTTTTTTTTTTTTTTTTTTCTGAGACAGAATCTCTCTCGGTCACCCAGGCTGGAGTGTAGTGGTGTGATCTCAGTTCACTGTAACCTCTGCCTTCAGGGTTCAAGCAATCCTCCCTCCCGCCTCAGCCTCCCTAGTAGCTGGGACTAGAGGCACGCAACCACCATGACCGGCCTTCTTTTTTTTGGAGACAAGGTCTTGCTCTGTCACCCAGGCTGGAGTGCAGTAGTGTGATTTTAGCTCACTACAGCCTCAGCCTCCCAGGCTCTGGTGCTCCTCCCACCTCAGCCTCCTGAGCATCTGGGACTATAGGCATACAGCACTATACCTGGCTATTTTTTTGTAGTTTTTGCAGATATGGGGTTTTGCCATGTTGCCCGGGCTGGTCTCAAACTCCTAGACTCAAGTGATCACCTGCCTTGGCTTCCCAAAGTGCTGGGATTCCAGGCATGAACCATCATGCCCTGGTCAAGGCCAGTTCTTGAAACCCTGTACCACCTGGAAGGTATGACTGAGAGAGGAGCTGGTTATGACAAGCTTTGCTGAGATCAGCTGGAATAGCCTCCTGCTTGCTATGGGCTGTTAGTGACTTATGCGCCAGACTCTACCAAACCCATCTGCAGTCAGCCATCCAGGTCAATCAGGAAGAAGCCTGAGAGCAGAAGAACATTTGGGAAACGTCCTCAACCCCTCTGTCACCAGGACCAAATCCTGTGAAATATATAATGGTCTGTCACACAAAATGCTTTTTGAGCATCAGAATTTTAATATGGTCTTTTGGATATCATCTAAAGAAAAGAACAGCCTTTTTCTGTTCAGGGCAAGCTCCCATAACCAGCTTGTAATGCTGCTCTCCTGCAGACCAGTGGGACAGATCCCCACTAGAAGTGGGAAGGATATAGGCCACTCTTTTCCACGTATCCAGGCTGGAAAAGTCAATTCATGGCTGGTCTCTCACCTCCAACCCCAATGACATAATCAACACTGAGTTCTACCTCTAAAAACCTTGGTGAGTGATAGAGAGATAAGATAAGGTCTTTACTAATTTATGAATTGATGTAAAATTTCTTTCTTTTTTTTTTTTGAGACAGTCTCAAAAAAGACTGGAGTGCAGTGGCATGATCTCGGCTCACTGCAATCTCTGCCTCCCAGGTTCAAGCAATTCTCCTGCCTCAGCCTCTCGAGTAGCTGGGATTACAGGTACGGACCACCACACCCAGATAATTTTTGTATATTTAGTAGAGACGGCATTTCATCAAGTTGGCCAGGATGGTTGGTGTAATATTTCTATTCCCTAAGTCCTCTCAGAGGACAGAAATTCATTCTTTTTTTTTTTTTTGAGGCTGAGTCTTTGTCACCCAGGCTGG